ACCAGACCTTGACCTATTTAGACGGTTAACTTAATGGAAGTGATGTAGTGAAATGGGAGGGGAGAAGGGAGAAAAGAAAAAGGAAAAAGAAAGTAGAGGGAGAGGGAAGTAAAGAGAAAGAGGCTGTAATTGGGTTTTAGCAATTTATGTAAAGGATAGATTTTAATGCTTGATAGTAATTTAGATGTCTAAAAAACCTGAATAAATTAATTTGAAGTTTGCTTTCAATTTAAATATTTAATTTTTTTAAAACAAATAGTTTAGGGATTTAATATAAGTTAAATACTATATTTATTAGCACATTTATAGAGAACATATTAAAATGTATACAATGTAATGCTATGTGCTGTAAGTTTCGAGGTGCGAGTGGTGTAATGAGATAGCGGAAAAAACGAGTTCAAATTCCAGTCGGGTTCGTTACATTCCCTGACGCAAATACACATGGGTGAGCAGGTCTCTATTGTGGTTCAGGATCGTCCAATCGTGTCACATCGGCCCCTACCGAAACGCACTGGGCCAACGCGATAGGGTAATGACTTGTTCTTCTAATGAATCTAGGTAAAGCCGATGTCCAACAAAAAGGACATTCCCAGATTGAGAAAAATAAATACATACATATACAAACTAATAATATATATACATATATATATATATATATATTTATGCATGTTTCATTAAGTAATATAGTCAAGTTTGATAAGTTTAATAACATTATCATTAAAAGAAGAAAGAAAATCACTATATTGATACATATTTTTTAATCCTATCTAAACTTTCTGCTTACATAAGCCATTATCAAAGATAACAATTACATTACAATATATTAAATAATACACTGACAAAACAATAATTATATATATATATATATATATATATATATATATATATATATTTATTATATGATTAAATCAAAAATATGTTAAAAATCGCTACACAATAGCGTCCATGTTTCACCACTCAAATTGTGCCTCTTCAGCATCAATAACCAAATTCCAAAATTTTCTTTCAAATAAATTTGATTTTCCCACGTACTTTCTGTCTCATCTGAGGCCATCTTCAGGGGTTCCATATCTATGGATGTGTTTTGCATTAAGACTGTAACTCCAAAATATTTTTTCAATCGTTATGCAAGGGTGATTTTTTCTTTTTTTTTTTAAAAAAAAAGGTAATTGTAGTATTTTAAAATATCATTTTTTTATAAAACACTTTGCTGCTATAATCGTAGATGACTTTATTTATTCTCCCTTATATAAACGATTACCAGAATGTTATATATATATATATATATATATATATATATATATATATATATATATATATATATATATATATGATCATACGATTGATTCTCCTGTCGTTTTCGAAATATGAGTGACTTTCAGTATTTATGTTTAGAATGAGGCAACAATCCTGCACGGGATTTGGAAACAAACCACTCGAAGGGCATGCTGCATGGGGTGATGTATTAGCTCAAGATTTAGTGTTAATTCTTTAATTCTTTCACATGGTTGAGATGATTCTTTTTAAAGTTAGTTATACCTCGGTAGCAGGTGCTTTTCCAGTTTGTTCGGTTTTCAACGGCAAGTTCGATATCCTCTCTCTCTCTCTCTCTCTCTCTCGCTATATATATATATATATATATATATATATATATATATATATATATATATATATATATATATATATATAAGCAAATATATGGATATAGATCTGAGAGTATGAAGAAAAAATATACGGAAAAAGAAACAAAAATTTTAATATGCAATTATGCTCTTTTAATGTTAATATAATATGTTTTATGAATATGTCCTGAAGATGGTCTACTAGGCCGAAACGTCAGACGTTGACATTATATTAACATTAAAACAGCATAATTGCATGTTAGGATTTTTGTTTGTTTTTTCCGTATATTTTTCTTCACACACACACACACACACACACACACACACACACATATATATATATAATGAAATTTTCAGTAATTAAACATCATTGTTTTTGTTTGTTTTGTTTTTTAAAACAGTCTAGTTAATGTCTATCGGACTAGCATCAAAAGTCTTAAAAAAAGAAAATGTACATGCTGACATTCCCTTTTAATTTGGTAAACCAATTTCATGCTAAAGTATTAAAACGCGGATGCGTGTTCGATTCCTGCTAGGGGTGGTATATTTTTTTTAGTAAAACTTTCTATCTCTACCTTAATTGAGATTAATTGCACAGAATAAAAGCAATAAACGATGTCTACTCAAACATGCTTAATAGCTTAATATAACGGTTAAAATAATAAGAAATACGCACATATGTATGTATGTATGTATGTACGTGTGTGTGCGTACGTTTGTGTGCGTGTGTATATCACTCGACGCATATGTGTGTTTGTGTTTTGTAAATTATCAGGAAATAATGTAGGCGTTTCTGATAGGACTATTTTATGTATAATATAAACACATTGTTAACGATTTTGCTATAAGAACGCACTGAATATCAGGAAAAATGTATTGTCAGTAATTAAGAATTAGAATAAATTCAAGCTATTCCTAACAATAAAAAGAAAGAAAAAAAAGACGGAGAAAGCGCGCAAGAGAGAAGAAAGAAAGAGAGAGAGAGAATATAGAGATAAAGAAAGAAACAAGTGGGGGGGATGAGAATATGTTGAAGGTATGTCTTTAAGCCTGATGAATTAGCAAAAAAGAAAAAAATATCTCCTCTTACGACTCTCGCTCGGGTAAATTTGAGCGGCAAATTTTTGCTGATGCATGAAATGATCCGAAAAAACAGGAAGTGGGCTTGACTTTTTAACACAAAATCTGTGGCGGGGTCATGTCTTTCATAAGATATATTTACTTATGGAGAAGATCGTTGTCGAAGCGTTGAATGCAGCTCGAAATGAGGACGAACATTTCTCAAATCCCCAAATAGGAAAACTAAACCGCTTTGGCGACTAATTTGCTTTGTTCTTTATTTCATAGTCGTAAAACCAAATGTCCAGTGACACCAAATTCACATACCTCAGTCGGCAACTTTCATTATCATCATCATCAACAACATCATCATCATCGTCATCATCTCTCTCTTAATCTGTAATCCTCTACCTTGAGTGTCTATTGGGCCTTATAAAGGTGAACATCGTTGTAACACCATTGCAATATATATGTGTGTGTGCGTGTGTGTGTGTATGATACGCGCGCAAATATATAGAAAAATAGGAAAGAACAGTTAATAATCAGAAGTTCTTTAGTTTTTTTTGTTTTATTTTTAAAAAAACAGTGCTCAATATATTAGTAGAGCCTATATTATAATTATTTTTTAAAAAATATGATTCCATCGCTACATGTTCTCATGTTTCAAAAACAGCAGCTAAAAACTTCAATTTAATTATAGAAATTAAATTAAAGTACATAGTTCTGTTTCGTCCTTATATTGCAATCACGTTATAATGATGTTACCTTTTATAAGTGTTATGGAGTGATTTCACAGTGGAGGCTTTTAATTGTACTAAGTCGGTCCTAAAATAGGTTCGACGTACAAAACGTTAGGAACTTCATATAATAGGTATGACGCAAAGAAATCTAGTTGTGGTCGCTGATACTTTAGTATCCGACTAACGGTCGTCCGGCATCGACTGACTGACTGACCCACTCAGCGACTCCTCGTTACTCTTACTATTCCTATTTATTATAGGTGGGAGAGTCTATTAACTATAGAATAGGTGTGTTCCACTATAACAATAAGGCTCAAGAGCCACTCTAGGTAGAGGGTTACAGATTAAGAAGCACCATCGACAAGCAGGCCACTGGAAGTGAAAGAGAAAGAAAGTTTAATTGAGGTGTTTAGTCCCGTTTCATCTTCAAGTGAAGAAACGGACTAAACACCTCAGTTCAACTTAATTTTACTAATTATTTGGATGGTTTCGGCTCTCGTTTTTGAAACATGAAACTCTTATGTAGCGAAGGAATCATATTTTTAAACAAAAAAATATTATTATAATGAAGCTCTACTTCTGTATGGAGCACTGTCTTCGTAAAAATAAAAACAAAAATACTAAGGAACCCGGATTATGCACCCAACGTGTTCTTTTCTATTTTCTGCATACCTGCGCATTATATATATATATATATATATATATATATATATATATATATATATATATATATATATATATATATATAACATTTTTTATTTCTTTATTAATTTATAATAATTTTATTTATTCATCAATTTACATCATATATAGGAATATTTCAAAATGAGAGTATGTTAATCTCGGACGGCCCAAAGATATATCATCGATTTACGTTTTGAAAAGGAATCCACCAATATTCTGGGAAATAATTTAAAGTTACCTATATAAATTATTGGCTACTATTCTAATTAGAAAATATGAAAATGTTACCAGGTTATCAAAATATATGGTAAATAAAAATAAAAGATGAATGGCTTTTAACAGAATAACATAAAGAAATATCAATCATTGTATGAAGGAGAAACTGAAAAATATAGAATTCTGCCATAGAACTTCCGGTAACATCTTTCGCATTTTAACAACAAAATGATGGAACCTAGCTGCCAATCAAGTACTGCGCTTAAATTCGTAAAGTCGATGTGATAAAAATGAAAGCTCATCAGAATAATTACCAAGAAAATATTTATAGTAAAGGCACAAGGACCGATAATATTACAGAAACATAATTCTGCCAGAGTTTAAAGCAGAACCATATTTTTTGTTAGGGAAAAATGTTACCCTCCACTGCTATACCAATAAAAAAAACGCCTTTAATTCTGTTGGACAATATAATAAAACAGGAAGCTTTAACTTCTGCGTATCCATCCTATTTTTCCTAAGAAACCATTCGTGATCCCCACCTGGGCTATCATGTCTCTTTTCGATATATGATTAACTTGGTAGAAGAATAACCGCAACCGTTATTTTCCGAAGTCGACTCTCCGACTTTTTTTTTAATTCCGAACTACCATCCATCACTCCAACCGCACATACAACCCTACAGTACCTGATATTCCCAAGCAGTCACTCATCTAGGTACTGACCAGGATCAACATTGCTTAACTTCGGTTATTGTACGAGAACCGGTCTTTCAACGTGATATAGACGAAAATTTCTGTTAGGTAAAGTGGTTATTAGCTCATCAAACACAAGCTACGGCCAGTAGAGTTCAATATGAAAATTAGCATATCCGCATCATTACGTCCGGTTCTGCGATTACAGAACATCTAATACTTGTACTTACCTGGCACATGCAGCGTAAGGTTTATGATCTCTCAGTTGCGTCTCTGTGTTCGGGTAGAGTGCGACTCAGTTGTGGCTTTGTCGGAGGATAGAGGCACAACTGAGGAAAATAATACTTTAAGGTGCCCAGCCCTGGGGAACAGTTGGCCGAGATTGCACCCTCTCACTGCACTAGAGAGAGGGATGGTGCTCGTTACCGAGGCCAGCGTAACTGACGATTGCAGGGGCTCGGAAAATTTTTCTCTTTAGCCCGAGTGTACACGCTTGGGTTCCCCACGTTAATTCCACCTTGTGTCACAACCTGACTCCATGGCGGAGTCAATCAAATCGCCTTACCTGGCAAATGCCGGGTAGGGATTATCATCTCTCAGTTGCATATCTGTGTTCAGGTACAATGCGACTCATTTGTGGCTCCGTCAGAGGACAGAGGGGCAATTAAGGAAAATAATACTTTGAGATGTCCAGCCCTAGGGAACAACTGCCCGATACTGCAACCTCTCATTGCATTAGAGAGAGGGTTTGGTGCTCGTTACCGAGGCCAACGCAACTGACGATTGCGAGTGCTCGGGGAATTTTTGATCTTGGTTGTACGCGCTCAGGTTTCTCACGATAACCGCGACCTTGTGCCACAACACGTCTCAGTGGGAAGACGAGGTAAATACATCATTGTGCAAATTAATTGAAACAAAACGAATAATTCCGTTATTATTATTTTTTCTACATATTTACCAATGAAACATGACGCAGTGTACATGTTAGTATTTCGTAAGTCCACTCCACGAAATAGTTCCATGCAGACTGAACACAGATTCTCCATTGGATTTAAATCAGGTGAGATTCCGGGCCAATCTATAGTAATTTGATTTGCTTACTGGTAACGCTTGCCAGTGTGTTCGTGCAGCGTTACGATTTTCGTACGCTTCCTTGGAGTAACGTAAATCGCAGACAATGGCCATAGGATAACTAATCAACCGTCGAGACAATAGTGTCTGGACGTGATAAAAATCTAATGCAATCACGAATGACGCAATATTTTTCAAGGCCAAATAAATTTCATTATATACCCCGAAAATAGATTCATATTACTGCACATCACTGCGAATGACCTAATCTGAGGAAAAAATAGAAATCGCGTACATCCTATCACTCCAGTGGGTCTACAACTGACCGTATGAAGAAAGAAAGGAAACTAAAGCGGCAGTTTCAATTAATTTGCACAAAGGTGTATCTACGGAACACCTAATAAGTAACGTGATTTGTGCTACGTCTTTTCCCGCAGATCTTTTCTCATTCGTCTTCAGGGTATACTCAGACTGTATATTAAGTCCAAGCAACCTTCCCTTTCTAAGCAGAAAAAATGACTGTCGTGTCTGTCTATGATCCTATATAATTTTCAAAATATTGAGCGACTGAATAAAATTTATTTTGAAATATTAATTAGGGAGACAAACAAATTTGTCTGCTTTTTCCCATATTGTTCTTTTGTGAGGTGAATGTCAACTTTGCTTCATTTAAAATAATTTCGATTCTTTTTGCTGGTTAAAGTTTTATCAAGGATCAAGGGCAGTGGAAAAGAGAGAAGGATTCATTGAGATTTTCATGTTTCCCATTGAATTTGTCTTACTTTCTTCTTTTACTTCTGAAGTCCAGAAAAATGAATTCGGTCAAACAGAAAAAGAAAAATTGCTTTCAAATTCTAAGAAAAAAAATAATTTTTGAAAAAAAATGTAAAAGGACAAAAGAGAAAAAAAAGGAAAGAAGTAATAACAGAAGAAGAAGAAGAAGAAGAATGGAAAAAAAGCAAAAAAAAAGCAGAAGAAAAACTGAAGAAGAATGGAGAGCAGATAGAGAAAAAGAAGAAGAAAAGGAAGAAGAAGAAGAGGAAGAATAAAGCAGACAAGGGTGGAAAAGAAGGAGTGACATAATAAAAACACATATAAATATAAAGAAGAAGAAGAAGAAGAAGAAGAAGAAGAAGAAGAAGAAAAGGATTAAGAAGAATAAGAAGGAAGCAGGCTAAAGTGGAAAAGAAGCAAATAATAAAAACACAAATAAATATAGGGAAGAAGATGAAGATGAAGAAAAGAAAGATGAAAAAACTAAAAAAGCAGAAAAAATTAAAGAAGAAGAAGATAGAAGAGAGAAGAAGAAGAAGAAGAAGAAGAAGAAGAAGAAGAAGAAGAAGAAGAAGAAGAAGAAGAAGAAGAAGAAGAAAAGAAATCAGAAGAATAAGCAGAAGAAGAAGAAGCAGGCAAAATTGAAAAAGAAAAGGGTAAATAAGAAGAAAACACAAATAAATAGAAGAAGAAGGAAGAAGAAGAAGAAGAAGAAGAAGAAGAAGAAGAAGAAGAAGAAGAAGAAGAAGAAGAAGAGCATAAATAATGGTGAGGGAAAAATATGACAAGAATGAATGGAAACAAAAACAGTGGAAGAAAAGAAAGGAAACAGAATTTAGAAAAGAACAAAATAACCCAAGAAAGAAGGAAGTATAGAAAAAATAAAGACGAAAAACAAAGAGAAAGAAGCAAATAAAAAATGAAAGAAAGAAAGAATGAGAGAAAGAAAGAACGAAAGAATGTAAGAAAGAATGAAAGAAAGAAAGAAAGAAAGAAAGAAAAAAGAAGAGAAAGTGAAAACAAGAAGGTAAAAATAAATGATAATATGATGTAAACAACGTGATAGAAAAAAAGGAAAGAAAGAGAAACAAAAGTAAAATAAGAAAAAAAGTAAAATAAAAACAAAAGAAAGAAGAACGTCAATTAATGAAGACATCAATGTTAGATGACAAAGTGAAATGAAAGAAAGGAATGAGTAAAGAAAGTCAGATGAATGAATGGCGAAATAAACAATTAGAAAAAGACGGAAGAAGGAAAAAGATCCCTGGAAATATTTGACAAGAATGAAAGAAAACTGCCTGAAATTAAGAAAAAGAAAGAAATGAAAGAAAAAGCAACAAAAATGTCAGTAAAAAGAATCAAATTTCCAAGTATTAAAGAATACAATATCGTGAAAAGAATTTACGTCAGAAAGAAAAGCAAAGGGAGAAGAAAGAAAGAAAGAAAGAAAGAAAGAAAGAAAGAAAGAATGAAAGAAAGAAAAAATAAAGAAAGAATTAAAGAATGAATGAATGAAAGAAAGAAAGAAAAAAGAATGAAAGAAAAAAAAAAGAAAGAATGAAAGAAAGAAAGAATGAAAGAAGGAATAGAAGAATGAAAGAAAGAATAAAAAAGAATGAAAGAAAGAAAGAAAACTGCCTGAAATTAAGAAAAAGAAAGAAAGGAAAGAAAAAGCAACAAAAAGTATTAAAGAATACAATATCGTGAAAAGAATTTACATCAGAAAGAAAAGCAAAGGGAAAAGAAAAAAGAAAGAAAGAAAGAAAAAAGAAAGAAAGAAATAAAGAAAAAATAAAGAAAGCATAAAAGAATGAAAGAAAGAAAGAATGAAAGAAAGAAAAATGAAAGAAAGAATGAAAGAAAGAATGTAAGAATGAAAGAAAGAACGAAAGAAAGAAAAAATAAAGAAAGAATGAAAGAATGAATGAATGAAAGAAAGAAAAAATAATGAAAGAAAGAAAGAATGAAAGAAAGAAAAAGAAAGAAAGAAAAAAGAAAGAATGAAAGAAAGATGGAAAGAATGAAAAAAAGATAGAAAGAAAACTGCCTGAAATTAAGAAAAAGAAAGAAAGGAAAGAAAAAGCAACAAAAATGTCAGTAAGAAGAATGAAATTTCCAAGTATTAAAGAATACAATATCGTGAAAAGAATTTACATCAGAAAGAAAAGCAAAGGGAGAAGAAAGAAAGAAAGAAAGAATGAAAGAAAGAAAGAAAGAATGAAAGAAAGAATGAAAGAAAGACAAAAGAAAGAATGAAAGAAAGAACGAAAGAAAGAATGAAAGAAAGAAAGAAAGAATGAGAGAAAGAAAGAAAAAAGAAAGAGCGAAAGAACGAATGAAAGAAAGAATGAAAGAAAGAATGAAACAATGAAAGAAAGATAGAAAGAAAAAACGAAAGTTAGAAAGAAAGAAAGAAAGAAAGAAAGAAAGAAAGAAAAAAAAAAAAAGAAAGAATGAAAGAAAGAGCGAAAGAAAGAAAGTAAAAGATAGCTATTTATTTGCTTATCATAGCATATAAAACTATTTATAGATAGCGAGATATATATTGTTGATAGAAGAAAGATAGAAATAAAGAAAAAGTTGATGTGGTGGAACGTATTTCAATGGAAGATCAATGGAGACAAATGAAAAGTGCGGGAATAAAGACAAGATTTTTTTCTTTTTAGAACAAAGGAAAAAAACACTCAGTAAAACATAAAAAGGGAAGAACGACTATTGAGTCAGGAAAGAAAAAAGAAAAGAAAAAAAGAGAAATGAAAAGAAAGGAAAAATAGAGAAAAGGGTTAATTTGGCGGAAAGTGATTAAGATAAAAAATGGTTACGAGAGAGACGGCATGTATGTTGAATAACGAAAAGTATTTGAGTTAGAATAAAGAAAAAGTGCAAAAGAATCGGGAAAAGAACGATTGAAAACAATAAGTAAAAAGAAAGAAAGAAAAAAGAAAGAAAGAAAAAAGAAAGAAAGAAAAAAGAAAGAAAGAAAAACGAAAGAAAGAAAGAAAGAAAGAAGCCTTCACAAAGTTGGAAGCTGCGTGTAATTTAAGCACTAAATTAATAAAATAAGTGAACGGTTAATTTGAACAATCGGAACAATAACAGAATTATTTGCAGACATTCTTGGAGCTTTTATTATAAACTCTGTTATTGTAGAGACGAGAATGAGAAGCAAAGATCAACGAACCGTAAAAGAATCTGATTTCATTCCACCATTTTTTTCGGAGACAAAGGGAGCAGGGAGCTCGATTTTAATTTCAACATGATTCTTTCTTTTCTTTTTCTTTTTTCTTTTTTTACCAATTCCAGAGAAATATTTTTATGGATCAATCAACAACAGCTTTAGATTCGTTTGAAGAATTTTATTCGATTTCAGTTTTTGTTTCCGTTCAGTATTGTGAAGATTGACGATACAGGTAACAGAAAGACGCAAATATTCAGTGTTCTGTGTGATTCGAACTCACTACATAAAATAGCAATGGGAAACGTACATATATCGATTCTTTGGCGAGGTGTCTTAACTTAGCGTATTTATGGCTCGATCGTTTCAGAGCACGTCAGGCTAAATCACGGTTCCGTATAGGATACAGGTTCGAATCCTGTCGGAGGATGAATATTTTCTATGAAAATTTCTCGGACATTCATATAACGTTAAAAATACTGTTTATTATAAAAACAGATCGTTTACTTAAATATTTGTATCTATAAAAGAATGTATAAACATAAAAATATCTTTTTATATAATATTTGAACAATCGGAACAATAACAGAATTATTTGCAGACATATATATATATATATATATATATATATATATATATGCTTACAAGGAAATAGTGCACAGTACGTTAAATAACACATTTTGTATATATCTTTTTTATATCTGTCAAAGATTTGAAAGAGCTATCGTTAAATTCGATACCCTTTGACCGACTGAACTACAAAGAAACAATTAGTCAGACAAGTGCCAAATTGTACCTTTAAGCGTAACTTCTTTTGTCATAGATCTCATATTTCAATAGACGCTCCGTTTATTTATTATAAAGTACAACTGTATATTTCTGTCTTCTGAATAACCGAGAAATCCTGTTAAAGAAAAATGTACTCACTCTGGCCCGATTTGAACCTGCGTATCTATCTATCTACCTACCTATATATATATATATATATATATATATATATATATATATATATATATATATATATATATATATATATATAAAGTGAACATTGAAGTTAACACTCAGAGGCGACAGGCTGTTTCATGCTGGACGCAATCGTCAGGCATGAAACAGCCTGTCGTCTGACTGTTGACTTCAATGTTCACTTTTTATATTTATATTTACATACACTCTACCTCTGATATTGAGCACTTATAAATATAGCACACCTTAAAATTATATTTCTTCAAGCATATATATATATATATATATATATATATATATATATATATATATAAAGTGAACATTGAAGTTAACACTCAGAGGCGACAGGCTGTTTCATGCTGGACGCAATCGTCAGGCATGAAACAGCCTGTCGCTTCTGACTGTTGACTTCAATGTTCACTTTTATATTTATATTTACATACACTCTATCTCTGATATTGAGCACTTATAAATATAGCACACCTTAAAATTATATTTCTTCAAGCATATATATATATATATATATATATATATATATATATATATATATATATATATATATGTTTGTTTTGTTTTGTTTGATTTACGGGCATATCAACCTCAATGAGTTATTTAATGCCGACAAAATTTTTATTCTTGCTAATTTTTTCAAAAAGCTATTTCTGCTAATATTTTTTCATTCAAAAATCTATTTCTGGTAATTTTCCTTCAAATATGTATTGCTGGTAATATTTTTTTCAAAAATGCGTTGCTAGTAAACAATTTAGCCATAGCTGGGACCCTAACAGGTGCTACTATCGCGGGTGAGAGTGGAACTGAGAACACCAGCAATTAAGAGGTAGTTCCACGCTCCTCAAAACCAACACCATTATAACTGGAAATAAATTTTCATGTTCTGTCTATATTCCTGAGACTCTGGTATTGCAACTATTTACACTATTTGCATTATTCGGACTGTTGTCTTCATCTTTAATGTCATATTCACAACGTTCCACCTTTTGTACGCTCCGGCCTTCTGCAGGAGATATTTGTATTTCTGCATCGATGTACGAATGTCAGATGGGTGAACATTCGCCCCAATTTCTGGTGGGGCTTTCCTAATTGTTTTTATTTAGACATTTTGAACGAGTTGTACACTGTGCAAGACATCCATACGAGGCTGAAAAAGATGGCTAACTCCTGTTTCATGGCGAAGGCTCCGCTTTGTTATACAAAAAGATATACCTTCTGCCCACTCACATAGTTTTTATACAAACCAGCAAAAGCAGTGAAAAAATGTTAATATTCCTGGAGAGTGAACAAGCCTAATGGCTAATGGTTTTCGTTGGCTAAGCTTGGATATTTGAAGTGTGTAACAATTGTTGATATTACTGCCAATGGATTTTGTATTTCAAGAGAAACGTAATCTTTTTTTGACCAATTCTTAACTAAAATGATCCAGCCAGATAATGTTTTCATTTTGTTATTACGTTGCCAGGGGGACATCTCTGAATAATGTAACTGGCAACTTTCAGATTCTAAGGTCGAAGAAACTCTGGGTTCCAGCTTACACAGAGGTCCGTTTGGAATTACTGTTTACAATAATAAATCATTATTCATTTATAGTCAATATTTTCGGGGGCAGGTAGTTTTTTATGATAGTTTAAATTTCGTCATCTTTTATGTTCAACACAACCAATGCTATCCATCTATCTATCTAGCTTGCTAGATAGATAAATATGAATAGGCTGAGAGATGAATAGGATGCGAGATAGCTAGATAGCTAGCAGGCTGGCTAGCCGTATCGGTTCATATCTAGCTATTTATGGCATAGAAGATGGACATGTTAAAATAAGAAGTTAAAAAAGTCGATCGCAGATAATAAATTAAAGAAAGTAAACTAATAAAGTAAAATAGTTTCTTTCTATCTACCTATCGATCAATCTCTCAGGGTTTCTAGCTATCTATCTATCTATCTATCTATCTATCTATAAAAAGAATACTCGCTCGGCCCGGTGGCTAGGATCAAAGTGTAGTATCTGCGCTTTGTGAGCTGCCGGGTCGAGTGTCTGTCGAACTCTCTGCTTGCAGAGAGGAACCCGGACGAAGCTCCGCCGAAGGGTGGGGTTTCGTTCGGGGAGGTTGACGGAACTAGCCCGCTTGGACGGGTTTAGATGGGTTTTATTTTTGGCTGGGCCTACGGGCTCAGACATACCCACATTAAAAAGGCCTTGTGCCACATTCAATTCCTGTGGGTGAATTGATAAATACCATCTATCTATCTATCTATCTATCTATCCCTTTCTATTTACTTATCTGTTTATATCTCTCGGCCTATTCATATCTCTCAGCCTATTCAATCTATCTATCTATCTATCTATCTATCTATCTATCTATCTATCTATCTATCTATCTATGTTCATATCTATCTATCTATCTTTCTTATCTATGTTCATTTCTTTTTTCTTTCTTTCTTAGTCTATTCATATTTATCTATCTATCATTTCTTATCTTTCTTTCTAGTCTATTATCTATCTATGTTCATTTCTTTTTTCTTTCTTTCTTAGTCTATTCATATCTATCTATCTATCTATTATTTTTCTATTTACTTATCTGTTTATATCTCTCGGCCTATTCATATCTCTCAGCCTATTCATATCTATCTATCTATCTATCTATCTATCTATCTGTTCATTTCATTTTTTTTCTTTTTATCTATCTATTTATCTATCTATCACTGTTTATTTCATTTTTTTCTTTCTTTTTCTATTTCTTTCTTTCTTCTTTTTCCCTTAGTCTATTCATCCCTCGCTCTATCTATCTGTTTCTCACTATATATATCTATCTATCGCTTTATCATATCTATCTATCTATCTATCTATCTATCTATCTATGTTCATTTCTTTTTTCTTTCTTTCTTAGTCTATTCATATTTATCTATCTATCTATCTATCTATCTATCTATCTATCTATCTATCTATCTATCTATGTTCATTTCTTTTTTCTTTCTTTCTTAGTCTATTCATATTTATCTATCTATCTATCTATCTATCTATCTATCTATCACTCATTCATTTCACATTTCATTTTTCTTTTTTTTTCTTTTCTTTCTTTATTTCCCCCTCTCTCCCTCGCTCTATCTCTCTCTGTTTCTCACTATATATATATATTGATCGCTTCATATCTATCTATCTATCTATCTATCTATCTCTACATCTATATATATATATATATATATATATATATATATATATATATATATATATATTCAACTCATTCTGAACTGTTCATCCTATGACAACTAGTCGTAATCCTCTTTCCCTTCTATTCTCTCATTTCCTTTCTCCCGATTATCTTAGAAAGAAACCACCTGTCCGTCGGATATTACTTGTTCGGATGACATCGTTGCTTCTAATAAGTTGAACAACAGGTGTTTTATCACAATTTTCACCTGTCCTCGGCATTCCTTTCCAGTTCTCCCATTCTTGCCCCGCTTCACCGTGCACGAAGAATGTTTCTCATTTTTCGACATTAAAAAAAAAATCCTTTTGCTTCGTTGTTTTCCACATGTTCTCATTTATCTTTATCAATCCGCGTTTTATTTTATTCTTCGATGGAAGGTTATTAGGATATAAAAAAAAAATCTATTATAGCAATTGATATGCCTAATCAATAGACCTATGTTAATTTGGGCGTGAACCGAATTGAATGAGAAGTAAAACAGACAAAATTATATACGCTTTCTAACACGGGAAAAAGACAGAAGGGGAAAAGATTGATTGAATAAAGTGTAATGCCGGCGTTCGTAAGCATGTATGCGAGGGAGATATTGTATTTTTTTTTTTGGTTCGTGCGTCAGCGCTTCGGCGGGCGTGTGTAAACGAAGAATGTCAGTAGTTGGAGAAAAGTAAGAAATATTTAAGTCAAACCTAGATTATGATGTTTGACACTTTATCACCAAAACCCTGAAGTCAATATCTTGCAAAAAAATTGACCTGTATTGACTATGCAGATTGTCTAGCTATCTTTAGAGATACCATTTCCAATGCAGCAGTTCTCCTACACCATCTGGAAAATGCTGCTAACGATGTTGGACTCTAGGTCAATCCATCTAAAACTGAAGTCATAAGCATCAACCAGCAAAACTCAATTGAAACCCTCTCGGGATAATCAATCATATTTATCGAATCTTTTACATACATAGAAAGCGAAATACATACATTGAGTCAATTGCCTCGTCCACCGCAAGGAAAGTTAGCTCCCTGTGCCGCGCCAGGAAATTTTTCTCCTCGGAATCGATCCTCCAGATCTACAAATCAACAATTCGCCCTTGCATGGAGTATTGCTGCTATATATGGTCTAGTGCCCCTTCTGTTTGCTTCGGGGTTCTTGATAGGCTCCAGAGGCGGATATGCAATATAATTGACCCTGCTCTGGCATCTCGTTAACAGTCACTTTCTCACAGACGCGCCGTCGCCTCTCTCTGTCTGTTCTACAAATACTTTCATGGTAATTGCTCCGAGGAGCTGCATTCGCTGGTTCCCAGACGTCATGAGTTCCAGCGCCTTACGAGGCTGGCATCCCGCTCTCACCCTTTCACTGTCGAAACTCCTAAATATAGCCGTATCTTCTACTCTAATAGCTTCATGTCTCGCACCTCTCACCTGTTGAACTCCCTTCCCTTCTCCTGTTTCCCTGTGAGCTATAATCTCCAGCTATTCAAGTGTAATGTCAATCGACATCTCTAGTTGCCTTGATCTATCCACTACCCTTCTCCTCATACCCTCTTCTATCACTCCTATCTGATCTCGCTCTATATTTTCTGTAACCCTTGCGTCCTAGTGGCTTCCCGCCTTGCTTGGGGTGAAATGCCCCCACCAAAAAAAAAAAGAAAGAAGATATCCACTTCCTGGATAAGATGATAAACTACATCCACATCCTGGGTAGGAGGATAAACTGCATCTACGTCCTGGATAAGACGATAAACTACATCCACATCCTGGATAAGATGATAAACTATACACACGTCCTGCGTAAGACGATAAAATACATCCAACAGCAAGTCCTCTGATCGGGAGGGTTTGAGAAGCAGAGAACCACCTCTTAATTGCTGGTGTTACTAGATCCTCCCTGACCCGGGGTAGTAGCACCTGTTAGGGTCCCAACTATGGGCAAATAGTTAACACCCGAACTCGGGTCAAAACACTATAAAGTGTAAAAACAGATTTTAATCCAGGCAATACATTTTTGAAGAAAATAAACATTAGCAGCAATAGAATTTTGAAAAAAAAATATATTACCAGCAATAAAAATTTTGTCGGCATTAAATAATTGAGGTTAATATTGAGGGGTCCACCCCTTTTTTATACAAATGAACTCACCCAGTATATACATATACTACTGCAAGAGCGAGACGAGAGTAAGATAGAGCAAGACCGAAGTGTCGAGTCGAGTCCAGAGTGACAGAGTAAAAGCTTGTAGGTAACCGGAAGAGTGAGGGGTGAGGTAACAGCGTTGTAGGAGTCACAATGAGCGAGCACGTAGACTCAGTAAGAAATCATACAGCGATACTTCAATACCAAAGACTGTATATATATTTTGATACTAAACGTATTCCTGGAACTACTGACCTGCTTTACCAGTTTGTATTATTACGTTTACAAAAACACTTACACACAATTTAAACACGCTTAGTCAAAATACTTGAACAATGACAACAGATTAGTCGAAAGGTCTCGGTACGAAAAATCATTTGGATAGTTTCGAAACACACCATCCAAAAACGATGTCTTTTGTCTGTATACAAGGAAAATCCAATAAGAAACTTAACATAAATGTCTTGTCAATCATTTTAATGAAACGTATTCGAGAAGGATTGTTGCCAAAATACGCAACTATTTAAAAAATAACATAAATATTTTCTACAAAGACCAAATGCACATTAACTACAAACAAGATGCATCTTCACTTAGAAATATCATAAAGAAATACACTATCCCAAACCTGAGCAAAATATTAAATTATCTACCATAAAGAATATAAAACAGCTGACCTTATTGTAAAAAATAACAACACACAAAATTACAAACGAACGAACATTATCTGAGATTACAAATGCCCCTTAAGAAACTGTGTTCCTGATCAAACCGAATTAATATATAATTACATCGGTCGCACTACTACATGCCTATCCAGACGATACAGCTATCTGACCACAGCTCTATTAGAACGCATTAAAACACACACGCAAACTTACCAGACCCCATCCGAAATATACTAGTAGAAAATACAAACCTAAGTTCATCTACATTTAAATAAAGATTAAAAATAATGGAATTATTAATAATAAAAAAAATGAAAAAAAGACAACACTTAATAATATTAACTACGAACACGGCAACAATGTGCTGTGTTCGGAAAATAAAACATTCCTATAGCTCTAGAAACCTACACAGAACAAAATACATCAAAATTACAAAATAAAAATAAAATCATCCTTGATAATAGCTGAAAGCGCTCGGGATTACAAAACATTTGAATATTTTCTACTCAATCTGTGTTCCGAAAATTAAATACTTGTACGAACACAAGAAAAAATAAATAAAAAGCATAATCGTAGTACCTTGTCTGTCGTATTCAATAATATATATATATATATATATATATATATATATATATATATATATATATATATATATATATATAAAAGCTCAAATACTAATATTCCGTGGTTATAATGTATTACATGGAATATTAGTGTTTGAGCCTTTATATTATGTTCTTACTCTGTCCTGGACATTGAGTTCTACCTGGATTCTATCCTGTTGGGAATTTATATATATATATATATATATATATATATATATATATATATATATATATATTGACCACTAATATTATCAATAATATATATATATATATATATATATATATATATATATGCAGACACAGTGAAAGAGGAAAGTATTGAAAGGGAAGCAGACATAGATTGAGAGAGAAAGACGCTAATCAGTATTGTTTCAATGTGTGTGATCATGACTCTCCACAACCTCCGATGTTTTTGTTGTTCCAAGTAATGTTTTCTCTTCATTTTTCTTACGTTTATCTGTACAAATATGTCAAGTCGATTTTTCTTACTTTTCTTCTGCTTTATCTTTAATATGTCCTCTACGAATTCGGTTCTCTAAGCATTCTTTCCTCATTAATTTTTCCCAAACACTTCACCTGTCAAAAACAGTTTACGATCAACAGTTTCTTTATATTTTATTCACATTATTTATACTACTGTATAAATAGTCAGTTGGACTTAGTTTAATTAGTAACGTATAGAAATGTAGGTAGAAAAAAAGGAAATGTTGGTATGCTAGAGTGTGTGACAAAACACTGCTTGGGGCCCTGAATCAGGCTTGACACACTCGGTCGGGCTTCGGGGCGAGGAGTACGAGCTTGCTCTGATGATGAATAAGATGTGTGATACATCTGGGAAAGAAGATGTTAGGAAGGAGAAGTAGCCTGACGTGTCCTACTCGTGAAATTAAAGAATGAAGCTTATCTGAAGATTTAAATGAATAAATAGAAAAGGTATCATCATCATCATCATCATCATCATCGTCGTCGTTGTCGTCGTTGTCATAGTCATTAACAGCATCGTCGTCATCATCATAATCGTCGTCCTCGTTATCATCGTCGTCATATTCATCACTAACATCGTCGTCGTCATCATCGTCGTCGTCGTCGTCGTTGTCATCATCATAAGAGTCGTCGGTGTCTTTGTCATGACCATCGTCGTCGTCATCATCATCATTGTCGTTATTATCATCATCGACGTCTTCATCATCATCATCATCATCATCATCATCGTTGTCGTCGTCCTCTTTGCCATCATCATAATCGTCGTCGGCGTCGTCGTCATCACCATCGTCGTCACCATCATCATCGTCGTCATTATCATCATTGTCATCTTCATCATTAACGTCGTCGGCATCGTCGTCATCATCATCGTTGTTATTATCATTATCGACGTCACCATCATCATAATCATCGTCACTGTCTTCGACGTCATCATCATCATCATCGTCGTCATTCTCATCACCGTCGTCATCATCATCATCATCTCTATCACGACTTTTCAGTTGGTGCACATTCTGA